CATCGAGGTTTTCTTACTGTGTAGCTGCAGGGTGGTGCTGCAGCCCCTGGGTTTGGCCACCATCATGAGCTCAAGTTCATTTCCTCTTCTCAGCCTTTCACACAGCCTCAACCATGGAAAGGGGAACTGCCGTTAGTGCACAGATAAGATCACAGAGTATGAGATGTGATCCTTCTGAGGGCACACAGCATAGACCTGGGCTTTGAACCCAGACCTCTTGGCTTCCTTTCCAGTACTGTGCCATACTGTGGGTCAGCCCTTCTCTGACATGCCCAGGATGAGGGTCACACATTATAGTGGCGCCCATCAGCTGGAAGGTCAGAGCAAGGACCTTCTGTGGGGGATGCATACAATGGCCTGTGGTAGCTCTAACTTTGTTCTTCTCTGTCCTTGAAGAATCCAGCATCTCTCCCCACTGCCCCGGTCCCCAACTGTGCACCAAGGCTATGCCCTCTGTCCTTTGGTGAAGGAGTGGAGTTTGACCCCTTACCACTGAAGGAAGTAAGGTAAATATTGCAGGACTTGATTTGATTTGATTTTAAAAAATTTTTCCTTGTTCTTGGGCACAATGGCTCATGCCTGGAATTCTAGCACTCTGGGAAGCTGAAGTGGGAGGGTCTCTTGAGGTCAGGAGTTTGAGACCAGCCTAGGCAAGAACAAGACCCCATCTCCACTAAAAATGTTAGCCATGCAATTAGCATGTACCTGTAGTCCCAGCTACTCAGGAGGCTGAGACAGGCAAGAAAGAGAAAGAAAATTATTTATCCCAGACATTAATAAATAGCTAATTTATTAGCTAATAAAGCCGGGCACAGTGGCTCACGCCTGTAATCCCAGTGCTCTGGGAGGCTGAGGCAGGTGGGTTGCTTGAGCTCACAAGTTCAAGACCACCCTGGGCAAGAATGAGAGCCCCATGTCTAAAAAATATCCAGGCGTTGTGGTGGGCGCTTGTAGTCCCAGCTACCTGGGAGGCTGAGGCAAGAGGATCGCTTGAGCCTAAGAGTTTGAGGTTGCTGTGAGCTATGACACCATAGCACTCTACTAAGGGTGACAAAGTGAGACTCTGTCTCAAAAATAAATAAATAAATAAAAATTAGCTAATAGTGGAAGTGTGTCAAAGACTATTGATAGTTTGGTGGCTACTCTTTAAGGTTTTATTTTCTACATTCTAACTGATTAAATATTCAGACATCCTTTTTAACATAAAAATGAGATCATATATGGCTCAGCGCCTGTGGCTCAAGTGGCTAAGGCACCAGCCACATATACCTAAGGTGGCAGGTTCCAGCCCCGGCCGGCCAGGTGTTGTGGCGGGCGCCTGTGGTCCCAGCTACTTGGGGGCTGAGGCAGGAGACTCGCTTGAGCCCAGGAGTTGCTCACAGATTGCTGTGAGCTGTGATGCTACAGCACTCTACCCAGGGGGACAGCTTGAGGCTGTCTCAAAAAAAAAAAAAAATCATATGATATATAAAGTTCTACAAAACTTGTTTTTTGCACTTCACATATCATGACTATCATATATCATGGTATTTAAAATTTTGTTAAATATCAATTCCTTTTTCCGGAAGCTACTCCCCTCCACCCTTCCACCCCTGCCTCAAGGTGCTTTAACACTGTCTCATGTTATAATTTCACTGGACAGGTACCGGTCTCCCTTTGAGAATTATCTCATCCAGGATTATCTGGTGGTGGGGTGGGGAGAGATGCACTGAGAGGTTCAGTTCAAGATAGGTCTTTTTTAGAGAAAGGAATTTTACTTTTGGTAACTGGTGGTTTTATAGCTGGAGTTTCAGTTGCATTAACACAAAGGGCCCATTGACGCAGAACAAAGAGAGGTTCATCAGTTTGAAGGTGAGCAGCTTAGTCTTTTATTCCTGTGGAGCTTGTATTTTGAACAAAATGGGGACATGACTTCATGATATTAGCTTCCAGCTGGCCTCTTTGCTTGCCCAAGGAGAACAGAAAAGAATGCAGATTCTTACTCCACCATGGGTAGGGGCTGGTTGGGGATAGTGCTGTTAGATGTGTCTTTATGTGCTGTGAATAGACATTTTTAGTATCTACAAAGCCGTGATAATACTAATGCTTCTTTTCCATTAAAAAA